TGAGTGCGGTGAAGGCGCCGACGGTGGGGCCCGACAGCATCCGTCCTAGCAAGCTCACCTCATACTGGCAGTCCGCCCTGTCCTGGGCGCAGTACATCAGCGCCCCCACGCACGATCGGTAGATGCCAGCCTGAACGGAGGACAGGGCAGAGGTGCTCCCCATGAGCGCCTTGTGAGCTGGCACTCCCGGCGTGGGCGCCGTGTTCGCGTTCCCGAGGCCGAGGGTCTCCACCGCGTAGTCCAGGTACTTCGGGTTCGCTTTCAGCTCCGTCCCGCGCTCAAACCGCGCCCTCAGCCTCTTCAGGTGCTCGTAGGTGGTGCCGTACTCGTGGATCTCGCCGCCACTGAAGGTCACGTGCTGTCCCAGCTCGTCGCGGAAGCCCTCCAGCGCGTCCCTCGGCCCTGCCATGTGCAGGTCGTCCATGTGGAGCTCGACCACCACCCCAGTCTCCGAGTTGTAGAAGAACTGAGGGGCCACCTCGCACCTCGCCATTTGCATCTCGTCCGCGAGGATGCCCGCCGTGTGCTCCACCCATCCAGGCGCCGCAGTGCGCCTGCCAGGTAGCTGCCTCTTCAGTTTCCAGTAGATGTCCGTGCTCTTGCCCACTGCCTGCAGCCAGTCCAGGTACTCCTGCTGTGGATCCACCACCACGTCCTCGTGCTCGGGCGCCTGGTAGAAGGCGTCCGTCGCGTCCAGCGTCATCACCTCGAAGCCGCGCTTGAGAGCCGCGAAGTCGATGAGCCTGTTGGAGATCGGGGCCGATCCTGGCGTGAACAGGTCGTCGCGCCACTCCTGCCAGCGGAACTCACGGCAGACGAACCTCACCTTGCGCTGCCACTCCTGTCGCGCTGGCTTCCACCTCCACTGCTTCTCCCAGCGGGCGGTGATATGCTTCATTCCCCTTGCCTCCGACTCGGGGATGTCCTCGCCGACGCGTGGTCCAGGAGGCTCTGCAGGTGCTCCAGCGCGAGCTTCTTGTCCAGCTCGCCCTGCGCGTCCACGTCGAACATGGCCTCGGTCGGGTCCTCGACCTCATCCGAGATCTCCTCCCAGAACGCGCCGGGCGGGTCGTCAATGTTGCCGACGTCCAGCTCGTGAACCGCTGCAACCCGCGCTCGCTTGCTCTCTGAGGCCTCCGCCTCCGGCGACAGCCCGCGCCTCTCTGCTTGTGGGGGCGGAGCCCCCATGGCTACATCTCCTGGCGCTGGCTGCGGTGGCTGCTGGGGCTGCGGATGTGGCTGTGGCGGTCCTGCCGCCGCCGCTGGGCCTGGGGCCTGCGGTGGGGCTTGAGGTTGCGCAGGGTCCGCTCGGCCTCCGGGTGGCCCTGCCAGCGGTTGTGCCTGCTGCTGCTGCCGCTGATCCGCCCTCGGGATCCCTGTCGCCACGGGCGGGGCCGCCCGTGGTCGCCTCGACCTCTCGGGCGCCGTCCTCGTCGCCCAAGGGAGGCCCGTCGCCGACAGCAGGAGGTCCTTGTCGGTCTGTCTGCCCTCAGGTAGCCGTCGCGCGGTCCGAGCTCGATCGGCCCCCTGCGGCGTCATCATCAGATGCCAACCCAGATCCCACGGCCCCACTGCGCCTCCCCGCGGCGTCGCCGCCGTCCTCCACCAAGTCCTCGATGCTTCGGTCGAGCTATTCGATACAAAACCGTCTCGCCGAAGCTGCAGATGTCGCCCCTGTAGGGCGCGCCCGTCGCTATCTCATGCGGGGTCTGCCCTCCAGCTCGTCGCGAACACCGTTCGTGTAGCCACCCAGCGTGACGCGCCATCCAGGCCCAGATCGGCATCGCCGCCGTGATCCTGGTGCCGTAGCGCTTTTCGAGACCAAGCCTGAGGACTCGCGCCTGGCCCTCGGCGATCGTCACCGCCGCCTCCGCTGGGTTGGACTGGCTGCTGTGCTTGGGCGTCAGCTCTGGAATGACCTTGCCCGTCAGCTCTGCAACTACCCCGTCCAGGATCGCCTTCGCTGCAGGCTCAGAGTCGGTCCTGAGTCTGCACTTGCCCGTCTCGAGCCGCTGCGCGAACTGCTTGATACCTGCAAGCGCGTATGGTGATGCCGATTTCGATGGGCATGGAATGGCCTTTACTACTCCAGCGTCCGAGCCGAACGCCACGAGCATCGTCGCGTAGGTGTCCTTTACCTTCGCCAGGTCCCCGTCCTCATCAGCCGTCTTGCAAAACCCAAAGTCAAAGCTGATAAGCGGCGCCTTCCGCTCGGAGTCCTCGAGCGCGACCTGAGTGCGGGGAGCATCGGGCGCCTTGCCACAGATGCACTCCTCACGCCAAGGCGCGGTTGGCAGATGAGTGAGGCGGCGCTGCCTCTCCTCCTCAGCGCTAAGAGCTTTCGGCACGGGTAGCTCCCTAGCTTCGACTGGGTCGTGCTGGATCCCGAGCTGCTCCTTGACTGCCTGCTTGTGCGCCCTCTCAGCTTCCGATCGCCTGGCCGCGGCCTCCGCCACGATGAGCCTGCCCCAAAGCTCCGCCTTGGTACCGTAGATGGGCATGCACAACTCCCTCAGCCTGGTCCTCATCGCGCCGACCGAGCTGTCCGCGTTGAGCACAGGAGCTGTCGCCGCATCCTGCCGCTCTGCCGCTCCGCGGCAGTAGTGAGCCTCATCTGCGGGGCCCGCCGAGACAATCGGGGGCCTGCGGCTGTTCCTCTCCAGCGTGAGCTGCACGCTGCGATGGCCCTTCGCCATGTAGAGCCCGTCCTCCAGGCTGAAGTTGAACCTGAAGCCTTGCCTGAGCAGCTTCCCCATGCACAGCAAATCGCCATTCACGTCGGCGACGAGGAAGCCCGCCGTCGCCGCGATACCCTCCTTCATGGCCATCTCGACTTCCCTCAGGCCTGCCGTCGGTAGTGGGCGCTGCTGCACGTCGGAGAGCCTCGGCGCGTCCACTGCAGCGCTGACGGGGGCCTCTGGGACACATCTGCGCCTGCAGAGATGGTCGTCGCTGCCGCTGTCGATCAGGATGGGGCCGCCGACCTTCGCCACCTTGCCGTCCGTCTGCGCCGTGACCGCGAACACCCAGCCATCGGGCTTGCCGCCGTAGTAGCCCGACGCCGCCTTCACCGTGCCATCCGCTGGCTGCTGGCCCGATGACGAGGCTGCGTCGCCTTGAACCGCTCGAGTGTGACCTGGCTGGCTCCTTCTTCGAGTCGTCGGCCTTCTTCTTCCTGCAGTCTGCCCGCTTGTGGCCCCACTTGCCACAATAGCCGCACTCGCCGTCAAACTACTCCGTCTGGTTCTTGCCGTGCTTGCCGCCGTCACGACCTTTAGACTTGGTCTTCGAGTCCTTACCCTTCTGGTATCTGCCCGACTTCCCGCCTGACTTGTCCGACTTGTGCGTCTTGCCCTTGCCGCTGGCCTTGCCATTGGGAAGCTGGGCACGGACTGCATCCACCTGCATCGGGACGACCCCGCCCACGTCTGGGACGTGAGTGAATGTCCTTCCCTGATTGTAGTAGCCCCTGATGTGGCTGCGAGCTGCACCGAACGTGAGCTTCGCCTCCTCTGGGGCCTGCCGCGGCACTTCACGATATGGATCTGGCGCGTGCTCCAGCAGCACGCTCACCCTGACATTGTCAGAGACGGCTTCGCCGCTCTGATCCACATACTCGGCCACGATCGCCTCCCAGGCGGTGAGCGACTGAAAGAAGTCGATGCCCGCCTCGCGATCCTTGGCCCACTTGCCCTGCGGGTTCAGGATGAACCGCAGCATCGCCGTCCAGCGATTCCCTGAACGACTCTCGTACTCATTCTTGAGCTGGCGCCACGCCTCGAGACTGCTCTTGCGCGAGAGCTTGACCACTCCCATCGCCTTACTCTCACAATACGTGATCAGCAGGTGCCACAGACGCTGGCTGACCTGCCTCGCGCGCTCGTCGAGCTGGTCGTTCAGCAGCGGGTCCTGCCTCTGGCCCGCCGCGGTCATGAACTCCTCGAAGCCGAGCAGCGCGGTGTAGGCCTCGAATCGGAGACTCCAGTCTCCCCACTTCTCATCCGTGCCATCGAACCGCTGCAGCCGCATGTCGGTCCGCACATCGACCACCTCGATCGCCGCCATCGCTGCTGACGAGTAGCCCTCAGTGTCTTGAAACAATCGAGGCGGCGGATTGCAAACAAAACCAAGGATTGCAAACAAAAAAAACCCGGATTGCAAGAAAAAACCACCGATTGCAAGAAAGGATTGCAAACAAAAGCCCAAGGATTGCAAACAAAAAAAAAAGGATTGCAAAAAAAAGCACCGATTGCAAAAAAGGATGGCAGAACAAAACCCTGCTGGGCCCCTGCAGAGCCCCCTGCTGGGCCCCTTTGCTGCCGCCCCGCGCCGCCGCGCTCCTGCTGCCGCCCCTGCCGGGCGGGCCGAGGCGGAGCCGGATGCGGACTTGGCGCGCGGAGCCGCGCAGGCGGCTCGCGCCGCTGGCCAGGCCGCTGGGCGGAGGCGAAGGCCAGCACTTTAATCTAAAAGTGATCTTACTCTTATTACTTTTAAGTTTTATAATTATTGATAATGGCATTAATATTATTATTATTGCGAATATTCTCATTATTATTAGCAATAATATTCGCATTCTTATTATCAGTAGTATCATCAGCATCATTGGGCCGAGCTGCCACGTCGGGCTTCAACCCCCCTTCCCGTCCCCTCCCCGTCCCTGCCCCCTCCCTCCCCTCCGTGCCACGGGGCTTCCCTCGCGCTGTAAAACATGTTGCGGCATTGTTGATGCGTCCTGGGTTTACTCTGGTCCTTCTCCTCCTGGTCTGACGACGGCGACGATGATTCGTCGTTGCACCTTCCGGCCCGCGAAGAAGGCTCCGTTGACATCCTGGGGTCCCGAAGGGACCAGAGGAGTCCCGAAACCTCGATCCTGGACCCTCGACCCTCAACGAGGACAGCGGACGGCGGCGACGCTGCTGGCGGCTGCAAAAGTCATCCACAGTCGACGAGGACCCACGGCGGGGAAGGCGCCAGCGGCGGTGGCGACGGCGGTCGAAGGCCTGGGGCGCCAGCGCGGAGGAGCCGCGGCGGCCGAAGAGCGAGGCCATGAGGTTGACCTGGCGGCGGCTCCCGCGTCACTTCGGGGGTGCAGGCGGGGGGGGCTCCTCCTCTTCCTCCTCCTCCTCCTCCTCCTCCTTCTCCTCCTCCTCCTCCTTCTGGGGGGGGGGCGCTGGGAGGAGGCCAGGGGGCGAAGGAGGGGAGGCAGATGGGAGCAGGGGGGAAACCTGGGGAAGGAGACGCGTGGAGGATGAGGGGGATGCAGGATGCATGATGCAGGATGAGGGGGAGGGGGAAGAGGGGGAGGAGGGGGAGGAGGAGGAGGAGGAGGAGGAGGAGGAGGAGGACGAGGAGGAGTAAGAGGAGGAGGAGGAAGAGGAGGAGGAGGAGGAGGAGGATCAAGCCAGGACTCGGCCAGCAAAATCACAGTGAGGGGGAATCCATACCGCTCCTTGGAGGTGGCCCTCGGGCAAGACGAGACAGGACGCTGGCATCAGCTTTGGTGGGTCTAGGGATGGTCCGTCTTCAGCATGAGCCCTTCCAAGAGGGCATTCGTCACCGATCTGCTGGGCAATCTTCGCGGCATACCGTCCGCCATCACGGAAGACCAAGACACGTCGCGTGGCTGAGACCGTCAGGCTGAGAGGTCGCGTGGCGCGCGAGCTCAGCTCCCGTGGCGTGGGAACCGAGCTCCGCTACCATGTATGTAGCTAGATTGATGATGTTGTTGTCATCTCTTGAGCCAAGAGGACCTGTCAACACTGCTCCGATCATGCCATGCCAAGCTGACTCCTGCACAGGGGGGCCTCCGACCCCAGCAGATACTCCACAACATTAAAATTACCATGTGTCTTTGAAGGTTTTGTGTTGGAATGTTGAAATTCCCATGTGTTTTTGGACCCTGACGGCACGATCTGCGTGAGGGGTGCCACCGATTTTCAGAATTTCGAGGATGTCCCTAGCGAAACGGCCAGAAAAATCACGGACGCCGCCTTCAATTAATCGGCTCTGAGCTCTACTCCCTCGGAGAGGTGCGTATGATAATATATATATATATATATATATATATACACCACTGCTGGAGTCCAGGTTGGAGGCGGCCAGGGGGTCTGAGCCGGATGGGCCCCGAGAACATCGGAGACGGGGGGATCTGAGCTGCATGGGCCCCGAGAGCGTCGGAGACGGGGGGACCGGTCCGAATCGGTCCCTGGACCCCTCCCGAGGTCCATCTGGTGCGTCCATCTGGCGCAGCTCTTCGGTCAGCGTTCCGCCGTCCTGCGGCCCGACAGCGGCCCCTGGAGACGAGACAAATGCAAACAAAAAAGTCTTTCTCTCGAGCCCGAGACTTCAGGTGTCGGGAACAATTAAGCAGCACTCGTGCAGAACACATGGTTTGAACCTCCCCCCCCCTCCCCCCAAATGCAAGGTTGGTTTCGGATCTCCCGATGTTGGGCCTCCGAGCGGTCTTGCGAAAACCTGCCAACTTTGAAAACTGCGGGGGAGGGGGGGGGGAGTGTTGCTTAATCGTTTCCCTCAACCGTCGGTCGCCCCCCCCCTCCCCCACCCGATAGCCCGGGCTATCGGCGAACAAAACAAAAAAGAGTTTCGAGGAGGATTCGAAGGATCTGTGCAGCAGAGCGCGAGTGAGCGAGCGCGGCTCTCGATCGTCGTCGCGTTAAGCTTTCGGGACGATCCCCTGAGACGCCCTTGCAATTGTGACCAGCCTGTCCGCTGCGCGACCTCATGGCCATTGCAGCGGTCACAATCCATGAGGCGCAGACAGCGGATCTCGCGTGAAAACTGCGGGGGAGGGGCGGAGTGTTGATGAATTCTTTCCCTCAACCGTTTGACCCCCCGCCCTTCCTCCTCCTCCTCCTCCTCCTCCTCCTCCTCCTCCTCCTCCTCCTGGCAGGGCCACCTCCGCCCCCCGGCCGGCTCCAGGGGCCCAGCATCGACGGCGCCCCGTGAGAGGCGCCGGCGCGGCACGGTGCCCGCGGGCCGCCCAGGGAGCGCTGCCAGGAGGGGGCGACGGGCCTGAAGGGGCCCTGGGACACACGAGTACAGTCGAGGCGTTGACCCAAGGAGCCCCAAGTAGGGAGCGAGGCCCCTTTTTTCCTCAGAAGTTCAGTCTCGACTTCCCATGGAAGGCCTCAGGAAGACAGAAGCAAACGTTGAGACAATCAAGGAACACCGAGCCCCTCCCCAACAAAAAGGGTTCCTTCTTCAGCGCCCAGAGAGTAAATACACACACAAATAACAGGACCTCCCATATTTTCATATCTTTTCTGGGTTTTTGTTCCCCCCCCCAGTTCCCATATCTTCCCATATTTTCTGTGGAATCGACGATCAATTGTGTCTGTGTTTTTTTTCCTCCTGAGGGCTGCCCGAAGAAGAAGAAGCAAAAGAACAACAAGAAGAAAAAGAAGAAGAAGAAGAAGAATAAGAAGAAGAAGAAGAAGAAGAAGGACCCGGCCCCGCCGCTCCTTCGCGCCGGGCCGTCTCGAGCCGGGCGCCCTCGGGCGCCTGCGGCAAGCGTCGACGCTGACGACGACGACGACGACGACGACGACGACGAAGTCGGCGACGACGCAGCGGATGGGCACGATAGACAAAACCGCGGCGGGAGTGCAGTCGCCATCGCTCCGTCGACGGAGCTGGAAGAAAGCGAACCCTGCACGCAGGCCCATCCTGGCCAGGCCCATCCTGGGCCCAGGATCGCTGCATGCGCCCTCCTGGCTTGGCCGGGGAGGCGTAAAAAACCGACCCTGGGCACAGGATGGGCCTGGCCAGTATCGGCGAATGTGTGGAGGTGTGTGCGCGCATAGCTTTCGTCGCCCGATCAACGATTCGGCGCTCCTTTGGAATCAATAGGTTAGCTTCCTAGCGAAACGAAGTCAAACACAGACGCACCTTTACCGCTCAATGCCAATTCGGCTCTACAGCTCCAGAGAAAGGGTAGCCCTTTTACACGCCTCAGTTCGTTTCCCCCTGTCGCACAACCTTCACCCATGAACTCACGCGATAATCAGGTATCTCGGCGGTTTGACAGCGCAGGCGCACACCACCTACGTTGGGGGACGTGCTTGCGTATGTGAGACCGGCAAGTGACAGAGTGGGCAGCGCAGTTGCCAAGAATGCCCCGGAACGAGAAAGGGGTACGGTCGGACCTAGGACAGAAGAACATCCCTCAAGAACTTGAGACCCTCCGCCAGCCCAACCACACAGAACATCCAAGGGTACCCTCCCCAGGATGCACAAGAGCATCCAACAGACACGAAGAACACTGGGGTACCCTCCCCGAACCGACCTCGATCTTATACCTTGGTCCGGCTGCAGACGAGGAGGAGCGAGGCAGGAGAAGACCGGATGGCGACGGATACCAGTTCACCCTCACAACGTGTCGGGCCGCAGGCCCCCCCACCCACACACGCAGACGCGCACACACACGCACACGGAGACACACATTGTGTTATAGCCCCCACCGCAAGCCCCCAACGGCCACTGCAATACATCCACCACAACATGATGTGTACATATATATATATATGTGTGTGTGCATATACACATGATATGTAGATTATTACGCACACATCTACAAAGTGAGAAAGAGAAAGAGAGTGAGAGAGAGAAGCAATGAAATAAAGAAAGAGAAGCGGATGAGGAGGAGAAGGAGAACGACGAGGAGGAAGGGGGAAGGAGCTAAAGACCCCCGAACCGTGCTTCGAACGTGCCCCGAAGAACGTAATGCTCGCTGATTCGGGCATGGATTGCACGCCGCACGAACCGATCTGCAATATGCGAATGCATGCGAAACAACGGACAAGGTAAAGCAAACTCACCAAAACAAGGCAATGCAAGAAGAAAATACCACGGGTCCTCATCTTGCCGACAGCTCATCGTGAGCGCGTGTGGCAATGCAAAGCAGGAAGGAGGCGGAGGAGGATGAAGAGGAGACGGAGTAGGTGAAAAAAGAAGGAGGAGGATAAGAAGGAAGAGGGGGGGGAGGAGGAGGAGGACCACGAGGATGAGGGGGATGAAGCCCCCTTCCTCCGCTGGGCCTGCAGACGGGCCGACAATTTCTGGGCTTGACCTTTGAGAGCTGCAATGTTCTGGGCAGTGGTTCCGAGCGCTTTGGCGACCTCTGCTTGAACGCTGGCAGCCAGATCCTTTTTGACTCGCTCCCACTCCATGCAGTCGGTGTTATCGAGCTCGAGCACGCCAATGTCGAAAAGTGGCCCTTCGACGATGGTGAGGGCTGTGTCCTTCCCTTCGACCAGCGAGGACAAGTTGATGGCTGACGCCGCGGCAGCAGCAGGGGATGAGCCCGCCGCCGCCTGCTGCATCTGAGACAACTGCTTTGCGCAAGCCGCCTACCGCTCATGCTCGGCCCCACTGGGCGCCTGCAACGCACAGTCGTCGCTGGGACATGCCTTGCGAACCCATCTCTCCGCCTCGAGCACCCGCAACCAGCACGTCTCCAGCCAAGCCTGGGCACGCCTGCATGCGGCACCTTCCGCCGCCATTTCCTCAAAGAGTGGAACACGAGCAGGTGATCGAGGCGCCTCGACTTCGCGCAGCTTGGCCTCCGTCTTGGCAACCTCCTCTCAATTGCCAAGCTTGCCCCGAACTTGTTCGACGAGACGGGGTGCCAACCGCTCAGACACCCCACGAAGAGCCGCTTCCTGGAGAGGACGTTCCTCAGCCGGCGAACCCATGGTTGACGAACTGGAGGTGATGGCGGCGCGCTCGACCTGGCTGCTTGACTGCCACCCCTGGACCACGGAGGAGACGTTTCCTGGGCAGCCGTGTGCGCCTTGTCCGCCAAAACTAGCGGCCCGTGAGCCCACTTCCCTTGCGGACGCCTGTGAAGGGCAAGACACTCCGACCTATGGCGCTGAGCATCCGTAGCACCAGTCAGTGGACTTGAAATTCCAGCGATAGCAGCACGCCTTGACACCACAGAATGCTGAGGCTTCTTCCCACCCATCGAAGACTGAAGCAGCGGATCAGGGCGAAATGGTCAGGAAAATTATGTCGTCCGCCGGGGCGGACCAGCACGCAACTCAGGTCAGGGTGACCTGATCGATCACAAAAGCTGCCACGGATCAACGGAATCCACTTGGTCCAAGGAGAGCCTCAAACCTGAAGCCAAAATGGCTACGGAGAAGGAGGAAGGGAAGATGGAAGATTTTTTTACATCAGCGACCAGAGGAACAGGAGGATGCAGTGGAGGCTTGCGGAGGCGGTGGTGCAGGAAATGTTGCCTGCAAGTCAGCGTTCCAAGCTTCGGACCCCCCCTCCATGCTGCCACTCATTCGTGTGTGTGTGTGTGTGTTTTTCCCCCACTCCCTCCTCTGTCAGACATGCCGGCGCCACTGGCCACCTGGCTGGCTGGCTCCTTTCGCGAGAGACTCGGCTGACCGACGCTGGCGCCGCCGTGAACGTCTGCCGTGCGGCGTGGCCCACCTCCGGCCGTCGCTCGGGCGTCCATTTCCGGTGCATTGTTCGGTCTCGTGCGTGTTTTTTTTGTTGTTGCTCGATGGCCCAGGATGGTCCTCGAGGGTTCTCGCCGAGAAAAAAATGCACACGTCCGAGCGATGCCGAGACCTAGCGGACTGCGCTGGCAGGACGAGCAGGGGAAGGGCGAGGGGGAGGTAAGAGGTGGAGGAGGAGGAGGAGGAGGAGGAGAAGGAGGAGGAGGAGGAGGAAAAGGAGGAGGAGGAGAAGGAGGAGGAAGAGGAAGGATACCGGGGTACCGTGTCTCGGCCGATTGGTCGGCCAGTCCGATGTCGTGCGCACAGAGCGCCTTCGGGCACCACGCTGGAGGAGGCGACGATGGGGTAAATGGGGTGGTTGTCGGGAGTATACTCGCCATTGCTCGGACGTCCATTCCCTGTGTTTTTTCGGTTTCGTGCGTGTTTTCTTCGCCAAATGATCAAGAATGCTCCTCGATGGTCCTCGCCGAAGGAAAAATGCACGCGTCCGAGCGATGTCAAGGGTTGGCGGGAGTATAAGCTTTAGGTCGGGCATGTCCTCCTACAGGCGGATCTTGGACGAAAAATAAAACGTATTCCAAAAGTGCTCAACAACAGTCAAACATAATCGGAAAATGGCCCCCAGACTATTTTCTGACTATTTTTGAATTTTCCCCCTGTAGAGGGACACGCCCGACTTACTTAATATTAGCACCTGTCTGCACGGCATGCGTTCCGTCCACTAGTAGACCAGAGGCGTGCCTCCCTTTTATGCCTCATCACTCCTCCCTCTCCCCTGCTCCACCTGCTGTTCGAGCTAGTCTGAGCTCCTCGGCGAGCATCCGCTGACGGGCTGGCAGGCTCCCTCTCGCCCTTACCCTCCTGCTCTCCATGTCTCCTGCCGTCATGGCATCGCGGGCGGGCCTGCGACGAGGACGAGCTCGGCACGTGCCCATGCAGCGCTTGATTCTGCGGGTCGTCCCCAGGAGACGCAGTGCCCCGAGACAACCGCCTGGAGGGAGGGGGGACGGCCGTGATGTGGGGAGTCGCCGGTTTGTTGATCCTCCTGCACCTTACCCTCCTCCCTCCTCCTGCATCGTACCCTCCTCCCTCCTCCATCCCCCCATCCCCTCTCCTCCTCCCTCCTCCACCCCTCTCTCCTCCATCCCCCATCCCCTCCGCCAACTAGGCTCAAGCGTCGGACCCCGACCCCGACAGCTGCCACTCGGGGACATCTCCCGAAGGGGGCCGAGCCCACGCGCGCTGCCCCCGCTGGGCTGCCTCCCAGCAGGCGCTGGCGGCCGCCCGAGTGCCATGGAGAGCCTTGGACGAGGCTCTCCTCCTCCTCCCCCTCCTCCTCCTCTTCCTCCTCCTCCTCCTCCTTCTCCTCCTCTTGCTCTTCCTCTTCCTCTTCCTCTTTTTCTTCTTCTTCTTCTTATTATTATTATTCTTATGTTTCATTTTATTATTATTATTATTATTATTATTATTAGTAGTAGTAGTAGTAGTAGTAGTAGTAGTAGTGGTAGTCGTAGTCGTAGTCGTAGTCGTAGTAGTAGTAGTAGTAGTAGTAGTAGTAGTAGTAGTACGATTAAGAGTATAGTCGTGGTAGAAACAGATAGTAGTAGCAGTAGTAGTGTAGGTAGTGAGTGGTAGTAGTAGTAGTGTTAGTATAGTAGTAAGTAAAACGTAGTAGTAGTATAGTGGGTATAGTCAGTCGTCGTCGTGGTAATTAGTAGTCGTAGTAGTAGTAGTAGTAGTAGTAGTAGTAGTAGTAGTAGGTAGTAGGTAGTAGTAGTCGTAGTCGTAGTAGTAGTAGTAGTAGTAGTAGTAGTAGTAGTAGTAGTAGTAGTAGTAGTAGTAGTAGTAGTAGTAGTAGTAGTAGTAGTAGTAGTAGTGGCATTAAGTTTATTACTATTCCTCTTCTTCCTCCTCCTCCTCCTCCTCCTCCTCGTCGTCCTCCTCCTCCTCCTCCTGCTCCTACTGCTCCTCCTGTTTCTCCTGCTCCTCCTCCTGCTCATGCTCCTGCTCCTGCTCCTGCTCCTGCTCCTCCTCCTCCTCCTCCTCCTCCAACTCCCCCTTCGCCTCCACCTCCCCTCCCCTCCCCCTCCCCCACCCCCTCACCCCTCCCCCATTCCCCTCCCCCTCCCCCTCCCCCCCCCCATCCCCCTCTCCGCTCCCCCTCCTCCTCCTCCCTCCACCTCCTCCTCCTCCTCCTCTTCCTCCTCCTCCTCCTCCTCATCCTCCATGTTCTTCTTCTTAGTATGATCATCATTCTTCTTATGTTCCGTATTATTATTGTGCTTCTTATTCTTTATATTATCAGCAGTACTCTTATTCTTAGTATTACAAGTATTACTACTACTATTATTATTATTACTACTATTATTATTAGTAGTAGTATTACTATTGTTATTAGTGTTGTTATTATTAGTAGTAGTAGTATTGTTATTATTATTTTAAGTATTATTATTATTACTAGTAGTATTAGTATTAGTATTAGTATCATTATTATTACTATTATTATTAACATTATTATTATTCGTAGTATTCTTCTGCTGCGTATTCTTATTATTCTTCTGGTTCCTCCTCCTCCTCCTCCGCCTCCTCCTCCTCCTCCGCCTCCGCCTCCTCCTCCTCCTCCTTTTTCTCCTCCTCCTCCTCCTCCGCCTCCGCCTCCGCCTCCGCCTCCGCCTCCTCCGCCTCCTCCTCCTGCCTCCTCCTCCTCCCCTCCCCTCTTCCTCCTCTCCTCTCCTCCTCCCTCCTCCCCTCCTCCTCCTCCTCCTTCGCGTCTCCTGCTCCTCCTGCGCCTCCTGCGCCTCCTCCTCCTCCTCCTCCTCCTTCCTCCTCCTCCTCCTCCCATCCTCCCCCTCCCTCCCCCTCTCACCCTCCTCCGCCTCATTTTTCCCCTCCTCCTCATCTCCTCCTCTCCTCCTCCCCTCCTCCTCCTCCTCCTCCCCCTCCTCCTTCTCCTCCTTCCTCTCCTCCTCTCCTCCTCCTCCTCCTCCTCCTCCTCCCTCCCCTCTGCTCCCTCCTCCTCCTCCTCCTCCTCTCTCCTCCCCTCCTCCCCCTCCTGCCCCCTATCCTCCCCCATTCCCATCCTCCTCTCCTCCTCCTCCTCCTCCTCCTCCTCCTCCTCCTCCTCCTCCTCCTCCTCCTCCTCATCATCATCATCATCATCATCATCATCATCATCCTCATCCTCATCCTCATTCTCAGCGTCTTCTTCTTCTTCGTATTATTATTATGCTTATTCGTATTCGTTTCCTTCTTATCCTTATTAGTATTCTTATTATTCGTAGTTTAGTATCAGTCGTTTGATTATTCGTCTTCGTAGTATTCGTCTTCTTACTAGTATTATTACTCCTCATCCTCTTATTCGTACTATTTGTCGTATTATTATTCTTAATATTATTATTCGTATGCTTGTTATTCGTATTATTCGTGCTCGTAGTCATAAACTTATTCGTAGTCGTAGTATTCGTCTTATGCTTCGTATTGCTCATATTTTTATTAGTAGTATTCGCTGTCGTATGATGCGTCTTATTATTACCCGTATTAGTACGAGCCTTCGTATTAGTATTATTCGTGTTCTCAGTGTTCGGCGGCTTCGTCGTCGTGGTCGTAGTATTCGTCTTATCCGTCGTCATCGTATTATTCGTCGTCTTCTTCGTATTATTAGTATTATTATTAGTCATGATAATCATAATATTATTATTAGCATTACTATTATTATTGTTATTACTATTATTATTACTATTACTAATACTACTATTGTTATTATTATTATTATTATTAGTATTAT